CGGAAGAGGAGTCGCTGACGCTGGAGGAGATGCATTGGGTGCAGGCGGGTCTGAATCTCATTCGCAGGCTGAATTGTCGTCGCATCGTTGGTATGAGTCGGTCGGAGTGTGAGAAAATTCGTCTGGCCCCACCGGCCCGCTTCACTACCTATGTTGCCTCTCTGGGCGGGCTAAATGATAGCACCTTGCAGGTGAGCCATCCAGGTGGTGGAGTCGCTACTACCGCGAACGAGGAGGCAGCAGCAACGTTGACGTCGAGTGGGCAGGCGCCTGCACAGAGGACAGTAGGTGTGGTCGTCCTCGATCCCATGTCGGATCGCTCTTTCGGTCATCCAGTCTTCATCTTCCGTACTGTTCGATTCGATGGTGGGAATTCAGCTACAGCAGCAGCAAAAACAACGCAACGGAAATCGGAATTACTGCAGTTCTGCACGGCACGAAGAGGTCTAGTTTATGGTGAGTACCCAAAACGGGCAGATATTTCTGGTTGCGCAGACGGCAAGTGTTTCCTTTCGGAGAAGGTGTAATAGTTTCTGCTAAAGGCAGCTCGATTTATTTACCTTTTACGTGCACACTTTCAACTCGGTTGTATTCCAAGCGATAGAATCAGTGCCCTTATGACGACTTTATTTTTGACATTAAGACTTTCTAAATCTGCGTTGTTGTTTCTTGAATGTTAAACCTTGTAAGCTTAAACGCTCCCGGCCTTCTTGGTTTAATCAACAGTTTATGGTAATCAAATTAGTACATAAATCATGCTTTTAGTGTATGAAAATATTATCAAAACAGTGCACGATAAATCCCCATTTACTACCAACCATCAAAAAAACTCTACAATCATTTGGCCTAATGCATTATTTACCGTCATCAGTTCAAGTCTCCATGGATTTCACTTAATCAAACACTTTAAAACACATGCTTGCGGATATACATGACTCCTTTCCATCCACAGGATGTCATTATTGTTTAAATAATAATCAAACAGAACCAGTTGTTCATCAGCGGCCAGCTTTGCTTCACAGAGTGCTAAAAGGTTAAGGACTACGTTCGTTTTTTAAATAAAGTTTGAATCCCAACACTAAGAAAACACAGAGGGGAAAAGTTGATCTGGTGTTAGGTGTTGCCCCTATTTACTCAACCGGAAATGGTGTCAGTATCGTCTATTTCTTTGTTATTTGTGTTTTCTGCCGAGATTTGGGTTCTTAGCGTCTGCGCCCTACATTCTTGTGGAAGCCCCGCTGACATTTATTTAGCTAGGATTGATCCAGCATTTCATTAAGTATAAAATGGGAATGGGCAGATAAAAAGCGAAAACTGAACGTGTGGTCCTCGATCAAAAGACATGAATCATAAAACACGTGTGCACAAATGTTAGCTGCCCAAAAATATTCTGCGGTTTTCCAGCTGTATTTGATATATTAAGACTCAAAACGTTAAAGCAACTTTCGGACCGGACCTATACCAGTACATTCCGAATCATTTACCCCGAATTAGCGCAGTGGTTTCCAAGGAACATAAAAAGCCCAGATTTAACAACCAGATTATATGTCAGAAAGCATACTGTGAACGGATGAATCGAATCCGGCAAAACTCTGGCAAAACTCTTGTCCGGGCTTTCAGGTTCTGCTGCTGTTTGTATGATGAATCCTTCAATATACACAAACGCAGATCATCTTTGGTTTTTAACAGATCTCATAATGTAAACCGGTAAACACGCCTTCGACCAGATCATCCAAAAATAGTTTTTTTGAATTCACAGTCCTACAAACAATTGTGCCAGAGTTTTAGAATGCGAATTGTTACGGTATTTATCATACTCATGCATATTAAAAAATATTCAATTACCTACCGTCTGTACTGGTCATGTATTAGGACTGTCCGCGGTTAGAAAGCTTAGCGCCACAATGAAAAGAAAGCACAAGAAGAATCTAAGACGTCGTTAGAATGGGAAAAGGGTTTATTACTGTGTAACCTTCCCTATCTTTCTCCTTATACTTCTCTCTGCATATTCAAGAACGCCTGTATTTACTTCTTCCCCTAATTCTGGCATCGAATTAAGTGCCCACAGTGCGTGGGGAGAAAAAAAGTAGCCGACTTTTCGCTAATGCGTCACAGCTGCCTGTTAGCTCGCCCGAGAGATGTGAATAACCGATATTCGTGCCGACATTCGACGTTATTTTTGACGTCGGATGTTGCTGTGTGTGAGAGAGAGAGAGACAGGAAAAGGGGTGGGAGAGCGAGAAGCCTAGGAATAGAGAGAGCAGTATGCTTTTATCACTAAAAGTGGGACAAAGAGGACCGCGTGTGTGCCTTCTGGATTCGCTTACTGGACGGTTAAAGTATCCGTAAACTGTTTGGCCAGCACAAAAACAAAATTACTAGCACGCATCAACAGACACATGGCGTTTGAAATTAGTTGGTTGGTATCGCATGCTGTGAGTGCAGTTACCCGCTTGAAGAAAACGGTAGCCAGGTTGCTTAAGCTAGTCCAGGCTTTTCCGAGTTCTCAGTTGTGGAATTAACGAGAATCCTCGGATATCAGGCGTCTTCGTTAATTTCTCACTGCGTTGGAGGATTGGTGAGACAGTTCTTTCAAAACGGAAGCGCCAGTAAAATACTGATTCCTTGGACCAGTCATCTCGCGCGTGGTTTGCAGAATAGGCTGTTTGCAGCAAATTGGATATAATGTTTGATCCGTCATCCGGTAATATTTTTGTCCTGAAGCGAAGCCGGCAAGAATGTTTATCGAAAGCGCGGCCGTTTCGCAATTTTGACAGGAAATTGCAAATAGGGATATACAGAAACGTTTGCGAGATTCAAAAAAGGCGACGGTAAGGATTATACATAAGGCCCTCTAAACAGGCATGAGAACAGAAACGGTAAAACGGTATGGTTTTGGGTAGACATAGGTTAAGGATTAAGTCCACGGTTTACGTTTATGTTGGGACTGGTGTCAAAGGCCATGTGACCAATCCTTACCAAAGCAACTAGTTGGTGGCCGTGATGATACTACTTTCTATTTTTTCGAAGTATTTATAGCACAATCGACGCAGAACGTCAACCAGCATCTACCGTTAAATAAGTAGATGAACTTTAGAACTAGCACAGCGTAAATTAGAAGTGCAAAGTAGTCTGACAGACTACGATTGGTTGCAGTATGAGCACAGATGTTAAAGAGTTTTTTAACTGAGGATTATTTTATATTATATAAGAAATATTACAGATAGCTGGAGAAATGTGTTAACATATTTCGTTTAATATTGGATACAGATCCCAGATTTAGTCTCGCATGGGACTTAACCTGGCAGTAAGAGTCGTGCTAAGAGTTCCTATGCGTTGAGCTGCAAGTAAGGTCACACGCACGGTATACATTTGCTGTCTCCCTCAACATTCCAGGTACCGACTGCATCTGTCCAGAGTCTACAGGCAATTGTACTCCATCCTTCCTCGGGCCCTCCACCGCAAGCAAACCCTCCGCTCCGTTGGCTGAGCTGAACGGCAGCAGCGAGGAGGTTAGC